ACTCTTGGGCTACTTTGTTACCAATGGAGAGTGGGATTGACCATTACATTATAATGCCCCCATGGCTAGCCATCCCTAATTTGAAGTGATATACTAGAGGGAAGGCAGCTAGTCAACAAACTCTTGGGCTACTTTGTTACCAATGGAGAGTGGGATTGACCATTACATTATAATGCCCCCATGGCTAGCCATCCCTAATTTGAAGTGATATACTAGAGGGAAGGCAGCTAGTCAACAAACTCTTGGGCTACTTTGTTACCAATGGAGAGTGGGACTGGCCATTACATTATAATGCCCCCATGGCTAGCCATCCCTAATTTGAAGTGATATACTAGAAGGAAGGCAGCTAGTACAAACTCTTGGGCTACTTTGTTACCAATGGAGAGTGGGATTGACCATTACATTATAATGGCTAGCCATCCCTAATTTGAAGTGATAGACTAGAAGGAAGGCAGCCAGTCGATAAACTCTTGGGCTACTTTGTTACCAATGGATAGTGGGATTGACCATTACATTATAATGGCTAGCCATCCCTAATTTGAAGTGATATACTAGAAGGAAGGCAGCTAGTACAAACTCTTGGGCTACTTTGTTACCAATGGCCACCAGCATAATGTGAATCAGTGTATAGAAGCAAAACAATCGTTTCAGTAGAAACAGTTATGTAATAGTATTTTAAATTGGTCTTTTTTGGCATCATATTTGTGTCACTGCATTTAATTACGAAAAACGTTACTGCAATACTATATCAATAATTCCAGACAGAGTACATATCCTTAATGCAGCTATATATCCACGCACGGCTCATACGTGCAAAGCATGAAAAATGTCTTGTGCCATTTACTCGGACACACAAGCACACATAATGAGAAGCGTGCTCTCTCAAATAATAAAAGTTTTCTTGACTCAAGCACTTGTTTCTACCTGGTCTCGCTCATTAATTTAAAACAATGCAGTGACTTGTTGTTATGTTGTGTCATTATGAAACCTCGTATACTAACAAAATAAATATGATGTAGTGAGATTACAATTATGTATTTACATATTAGAATATGTGAAACTTGTGTATTCCACCGAACTCCATGTAACTCCTGGATGTCTGTCGAGGAACCCAAGGGTTCCACAGAACCACCGGTTGAGAAGCAACATTATTTATTAAACGTACTCTATTGTTTTAAATTGTAACACTTCGTAACATTATTCATTGAACATACTCTATTGTTTCAAATTGTAACACCTCGTAACATTATTCATTAAACATACTCTATTGTTTCAAATTGTAACACTTTGTAACATTATTCATTAAACATACTCTATTGTTTCAAATTGTAACACTTCGTAACATTATTCATTAAACATACTCTATTGTTTCAAATTGTAACACTTCGTAACATTATTTATTAAACGTACTCTATTGTTTCAAATTGTAACACTTCGTAACATTATTCATTAAACATACTCTATTGTTTCAAATTGTAACACTTTGTAACATTATTTTTCAAATGTAGTTTATTGCTTTAGATTTTAACACTTTTTAGCCTTATTTTTGAAGAGTATTCTGTTGGTTCAGGTTTTACCACTACTACTGTTGCCTTTTAGTTACTGTTGAAATACCCAGCATTGGGGAGTTGTGATAAACAACATTAAATATGTATTTTAGTGTTACTGTCTTTTGTTTTCTAAAGTTTTAAGTAAACAGTTTCATCAAGGCCAGGTAGTTGTACAGAATAAAACCTAAACTGTTGTTCAGCTGAGCAATGGAAATTATGTAAATTCGTGACTAATGAAAGGTTATCTTAGGACATGAATTGTTGCTTCCCCTTATATGTAATTGTAAAAAAATGCAAAAATTACAATAAAAACTGCAAAATGTGAAACTGCAAATTCATCTCTCCATGGATCCACCAAACCTGCATGCCAAATTTGGTGAAGATCCATCAACAGGGAGTGAAGTAATGGTAAAAAAACACCCATAAAAACCTCAAAACTGAATTTGTATCTCCCCATGAAACTACACACTAATTTTGATGAAGATCCATCCACACCCTGTGAAGTATTTATGTGGACATACAACATACAGCACTATTATATTTATATAAATTACATCAATAAAGATATAATCAATAGACGGTACCACATTGTACACACACACACTACTTCCATTATAATAAGATGTATAGAATTACTATAAAAATAACAGTTGCTAATCGCTTTGAATACTATTTCGGTCACATACATAGATAGATACATACATATATATATATATATACACACACTACTTCTATTATAATAAGGTGTATATAATTACTATAAAAACCAGTTGCTAATCGCTTTGAATACTATTTTGGTCACATACATAGATAGATACATATATACACACACACACACACACACTACTTTTATTATAATAAGATGTATATAATTACTATAAAAACCAGTTGCTAATCGCTTTGAATACTATTTGGTCACATACATAGATAGATACATATATACACACACACACTACTTCTATTATAATAAGATGTATATAATTACTATAAAAACCATTTGCTAATTGCTTTGAATACGGCAAATGATTATTATTTCATTTGATGCATTCTGTTTCATTATAAATAATATTTATATTTTTACTTATTAAAACAACATACTTCCATTTGTTCCTCAACAGCCAGTACTGCCTCATACAGCTTGCTGCACAATATGTGCCAAAGATGGGTTTGAAAATAGGAGTGATTCCCACGACGGTGAGTTGACAAGTCTCATGGAATGCTCACAGTGCTGGGAAATTGTGCATCCGGCTTGTTTACGAGAACATTTTCCTGATCTCCAGCAAGAAGGTGTGGTCAGTGATGACCTTCCAAATAGTTGGGAATGCCCAAAATGTTGCAGAGATGGGAAGCCTGAACAAATTAAGGTAAAAAAAAAAAAGAAGACAAACTTAAATGAGTTTATTCTGAATAGTGTATGGGTGGTTTAGGGAAACACTTGCATAGTAGCCTTGAAGAAGAAGAAAATGACAACATTGGTAGATTTGGAAATTTTTCTCACCATTTTTAGAAATATTGGTTGACTGCTGTAATAATTACAATAATGTATTTTTTCGATTATGTATATTACTATTAAAGAGTTTCCTTTTTACATTAGAAAATTTAATATTTTTTGTTTAATCAAAACATTTCTTTGTCAAATTTAGAATTTTAAACTTAGTTCAGTCCCCCTTGTGGAGAACACATGTATACCTAGTATAAACATCAATTTCTTGAGACAGTAATTCTTAATAGTAAATATTAGTGGAGTTATACTAAAAATTTTTATTCATAATTATTACATTTTGGATAAAAAGAGTTAGAGAAAATTAAATTTTTACTTAGCCAAGACAGTTGAAAAGTGGGCGCATGAAATTTTCTGACACGACAAGCCCTGTCCAGGTGAAAGCATCAGAAGGTGTGTACAGTAATCACACAGAACAAGTAAATCTGAAGCAAAATATCTCTATTTCTCAAGATACGAAGACAAAGAAAATGACTGGAACTGCAGATATGCCTCCTGTTAAGAAAAAGGTATATATTCCGGTTTTTGAAACTGAAACCAGTTTTTTTTTTAAACAAGCATTATTTCTTTCACATTAACAGGTTAGCATTCCTTAGAGTTTCATTTTTAAAGCTTAAGGCAAAAACTAAAAGTAAATTTTCATGAGGTAAAAGTTGACAAACCGTGAAGCTTTTAGGGTCACAGGTGTTGTGAAACGTGATCATATAGCTTCAGGGCACATTTTCTTTTCTAGGGGCGAGTAGTGATTATGTTTAAATATCTTCTATGTCTCTAAAGATATAAAATATTTTATTAACCCTTTGACTGTAGCTGCTTTAAATGAGCGTGGAACATTTGTGAGCTGTACATTGTATACAGCACACTCGCATTCAACTATGGGAGGTGGTCTGTATCCTGTATGGGGAATCGGCAGTCGATAGGTTAAAGAGTGGAGATTCACCTTAGTGAGATTTGTTTTAGCTTTTTATTTCAATTGTGCTAGGAAGTGTAGTAACGTTTCTTGATAATGTATGTTTACACAAATGTTAATAAACTTCCAAACTAAATTTTTATTACTGTCCACAAGACCTAATTTTTTCTTAATACTATCTCCTTGAACCAAAAGTTTTATCTAAAATTATGAAGGAATGCATGTTGTGTTACTGATCTCTCTTTCTTGAAAAGATGAAAAACTGCCCTAGTGGTTAGGGCACTCGACTCCCAATCTTTGGGTCATGGGATCAAATCCTGTTACCAAACATGCTTGCCCTTTCAGCCATGGGGGGCATTATAATGTAACGGTCAATTCCACTATTGGAATCACAGTTCTCAGCTAGTCATGGTGTGGGTTTACGGTCCAATATCTGGACTTATGAGAACTGATTTAATGTGGAATCACAGTTCTCATCTAATTATGGTTTATTTATATTCATAGTTCAAGCATGATATTAAATATGATATCTTCAGTACTTACCTTTGTTGCTTTATTTTAATTTATTTAAGTCTTGTTTGTTTTTACTGAAGGCATCAATAATTGTTAAGGTTTGAAGGCTGTTTATCCTGTTATATCTTACTTCTGTATATAAAGTACATATAACCACTTGTGTTTTACCAGTGATGACATACGAGTTTCTGTATGACAGCAATATATTACTTATCTATATAGTGTGTGTGTCCTCAAGTAGTGTTTATGACTAGCATGTAGGAAAAGTATCTTGTACTATATTTTGAGCTACTATTTTAGCTACAGTTATGCATACAATGTGCAAAAACAGCATTGTATACATGCTTCAGAAACGTTTTATATACTAACTTTACTGTACGAGACCTTGTTTTGTTCTAGTTTGACTACCTTCTACAAATTTGTAACAAATGGCTTATATAACTAGTGTTCTGATCACTACTGTGTTGTATCCCTGCCAGCCTTGAAGAGCTCCGTATTGAGCGAAACGTGGTGTCAACAGTGGATATAGCAAAACTAGTGTGGTTGGAATACTACTATTATTATTATACACTCTTCAAAATCCTTAAGAGAGTAGATAATGAATATAGTGTTTAAAAATATAATAGGCCTAACACTAATATCGTACGACAAGTATAAATGCTTGTTTTGTATTACCAAAGGAATATTATTTATAATTAATGCAACGTTGGTTGGCATGCTTTCATTGCAAAACTATAAATACACTTGTGATACATTTCACTATTCATAATAATTTAGTTGATAAAAGAACCTAATGAAGTTTTGTGAGGAACTTTTATGAAATAATCAGTTAAATAAATTTATGAAACAGCTGTTTTAAATACCTTGGAAATTAATTTTTAACCTTTAACTAAGTAATTGTATGAAATAGTTACATAGAAAACTTACTGATTTTTTTAAGGGTTTGCGAAGGTCTAATTATGAACTATAGAGTTTTTGAAAAAATGAATATATGTGTGTGACATAAATCAAACTTTTTTCTATTTGTATTATAAAGAAATCTAAATCCAAGCCAAAAGCTAGCCTGTCATCAGGGAAAAAAGAGAAACTTCCAGTTAAAAATATAAGTAGCAAACATCTTAGTGCTAGTAGACGACGACGAACACGCTGCAAGAAATGTGAAGCGTGCCTAAGATCTGACTGCCGAGAATGTCACTTCTGTAAGGATATGAAGAAGTATGGTGGTCCGGGAAGATCAAAACAATCGTGTGTCAGTCGTCAGTGCATGGCAGTAAGATAACTTATAATTTTTCTTTAGAAAGTTAGGTTTTTAGTGAAATGAAAGCTAAATATTTTGAAATCATGAAATTGTTTGAACGTGAAAAAACAACAACATTGAATTATGAATTTAAATTATTAGTATATACCGGACTTTTAACTGAACAATTTGGGATTGGAGTAAGATTCACATATTTGTTGACAAATAAGAAACTAGTTATTTTAATGAAAACTTGAAGATATAAGTTATAAAAAAACTCACTAGGACTTTTCACAGTTCAACAGCAGATCTACTTAAAATAAGTTATTCATCTCTCAAAACTCGCACGTCCAAATATCTTTAGAATCATATTAGCTACATATTAAATGATCTTTGAAAGTTCTCTGCTTGACGTGAACTTTAAATGATGTTTGTGTGAATACTAAAATAGTACCAAAAATAACTTAGTTGAAGCAATATGTGAATGTTGTTAAAGTTAAAGCAATCCATTAACTCTTTTATGTGGTTGTGCAATTTTTTGCTAGAATGTCTGTAGCATTCTAAATCATTATTTTTACAGCAGCTTGCTTATAGGTAAAATACTAGCCTATCGTTAATACAAGAAAATGCATACAAGGCAAACTATACAGAGAAAATCAATAGATATTTGCATTAAAGAATAACACAATATTTATTGAAACCTTTAGGTAGAAACAATACAAGGCAAACTTTTAATACAGAGAAAATCAACAGATACTTGCATTAAAGAATAACAATATTTATTTGAAACCTTTAGGTAGAAACAATACAAGGCAAACTTTTAATACAGAGAAAATCAACAGATACTGGCAATAAAGAACAACATAGTATTTGTTGAAACATATAGGTAAAAACAACTTTAAAAGTGAAAATATGTTACTTGTTGTATAACATCATTGCAAATCACAGTTCTTAACTGCCATTGAAATATTACAGAAATGTCTGTAAAAATTGAGTAAATTAAATTAAGCTCTTTTGCTTTAAAGAAATAGAAAAGTGTGTGTGTGTGTGTGTTTTTAGCAAAATTTAAACCAAACTTACTCTTAAATTTGAAAACTTAGAGTACCTTCAGAAATTGTGATCACTAAAGTGGGCTGATGAGAACTGATTCAATGTAGAATTACAGTTCTCAGCTAGTCATGGTATGGAGTTAATAATCCAGTAGCTGGGCTTATGAAAACTGATGTAACTTGAATATAAGTTCTCAGCTAGTCATGGTAAGGAGCTTACAGTCCAGTAGCTGAGCGTATGAGAACTGATTCAATGTGTAATCACAGTTCTCAGCTAGTCATGGTATGGAGTTAATAACCCAGTATCTGGGCTTATAAGGATTAATATAACTTGAATATAAGTTCTTAGCTAGTCATGGTATGGGATTTATAATCTAGTAGCTGGGCTTATGAAAATTGATTTAATGTGGAATCACAGTTCTCAGCTAGTCATGGTGTGGGTTTACGGTCCAATAGCTGGGCTTATGAGAACTGATTTAATGTATAACACCTGTAAGTTAGAGACTTTTAAAACTCATTCGTATATAAACCCGCATGGTTTAGTCATGATTTAAAGATACAGAATTTCATAATGGAATTTAAGAACACTTTGTTTATAGATTGCTTTTGGCATTTTTACACAGTTTTTGTACTCTGAAATTTTTAGTTTTTTCGTGTGTTATTTAGACAAACACTTACAATTAATTTTGATATGTTGCATTCCTATTATTGTATGACCTACTTTTAGTGTTACTAGAATGATACCAGTTGTTTTGAAAAGGTTAACAATATGTTGAACAAAGTCTCTCACAGAAATTGTAACATTAATCCTTTGTTTCTTTATTCAGAATATCTGTGTATTTATATGACTAGCTGCCTTCCCTTTAGTCTTTCGCTGCTAAACTAGGGACGGCTAGTGCAGATAGCCCTCTTGCAGCTTTTCGCAACATTCAAACCGAACCAAACTCAAAAGGAACATACTGAATGACTGAAATCATGAAAATAATTGTTTAGAATATTATTTCCTTAATTTTCGTGAAATATGTTTTAGATATAAAATTTCAGGAGAAGTATGAGGTATTATGAATGTTGGGTTTTATCTTATTCATTGAGAAATCCATTATGTAGGAAATATATTTTCCTGTATTTATGATTTGCTTTGTGACACATAAATTCGTGGTTGGTATTTCTTTAATGCACTAAAGTTTCGAAGCTCCCTACCTGACGAACGCTATCGGTAGGTAGTTACGGATTTCCTAACTTACTACTGTTTTGTGACAGAATTTTTACTATCGGTATGAAGTGGACGTGGACACACTATAGACATGTAGTTTTAGTTTCAATTACTTAATAGTTTGCATATGAAATTCTGAAACGTTATCAAGTTTTTATTCTTGTTTCAGAAATTACTACAAGAACACAAGAACGATGACCCTCAGTTAGCCTGTACTGGCACACCTGTCCTTGAGGAGCAGACATCGAAGGTCAGAAATAAACATTTTAATTTTGATTTATGTAGTAAAGCTACACTATTTTTTATTTTTTAGCTTATTTTGCACCACCCACCGCCAACTCTTGGGCTACTCTTTTACTAACAAACAGTGGGATAGACCGTCACATAATAACACCCTCACAGCTGAAAGGGCGAGCATGTTTGGTGGGAGACGAGGATTCAAACCTGCGACCCTCAGATTGCGAGTCAAGCACCCTAACCACCTGACCAAATTCCTTTGAGATTAATCTAGTGTTAGTGGTTATATGCAAGCCTTTTTTAAGTCAGTATGATGTCCATATTAACCTGTGTATTAGATTTCTTACTTTTCTGCTTATTTCATGTGAAAAACAAATATTAAATTTCGAGTTGATTGTTCTAGTCTTCCATTGTTGTTTTCTAAGCCTTTTTTTCCTTTGAACTTTCAGAATTAGTTTGTTTGTGTATCAATTTTGTTTAAGGAGTTTGTCAATGTATACTTCCACCCAGTCTGCCCATTTTTACTGACTAAACTAAGTGCTTTACACAACACACAAAGAGCATTAGTGAGTCAAAGTTTTGTATTTCATTAAAGTATGTTTGTTAGACTTTCTAGTTGGAAGACAAGTTCTTCATTGCACGATAAATGTTATGTGCACTATGATGTGATAGTTTGAGAAATGTGGAAAGATCTACACAATTTATGATCTGTACAAGGTGAAGGAGTCAACAGTAAATTTTCTATGCATATATATATATATATATATATAATTGGTGATGTTTTAAAATCAGGATCATTAAGCTATCAGGGAATCAAAAACTCCAAAATAGAAACAAAACAATTCCTGATTCAAGCTTCATTCATGTTCTAAACAAAGAGCTGGAATACCTTAACATCCAGTAGGAGAGCCTCAGGTTCGGCAATCAATTCTGGAACACATTTCTTATTGGTTGGAAGCCTCTGTAGCCAGTGAATGATAGCCTGAAAAATTTAACAGTTAAAAAAACTTTAGACAGATTTCTAAAATACAGAC